TCGGCTATTTGCGACAGCACCCGGTGGAGCTTCTTTCATATTCTATTCTATCTACTCCCATAATTATTATATCATTCAGATAAGCTGCAGCAAGTGGAACATCCTGTAACATAGTATCCATAAATTGCTGAAATATGGATGGGACCGTCTTGACTCTGAAGAGTTGTCAATTATACCGGAATAGACCCTTGTGTGTGTACATCAAAAATTATTTATAAAATACATTTGTCATGCTTATCTCTACATAGCTCCCTCAGAGTGTTCGGAAGTAACACTGGTTGTAACAAAAAATATGATAAAACAGGTGATTGTGGAAAAATGTGATTAATTATATACACGTGTGGAAAGAAAAGAAACAGTAGATTTCATTGGAAAATCAAGTGAATTTAACGGTGCAATATGTGCCACCGATTGTTTGTTTTGAGTTTTTTCATTCAGCGAAATGTAAATAACGTTTGAATTTCTCTACAGTCCTGCCTGAACATGTTAAGTAAGTAGTCTTGATGCTCGGTTTTTCATCCTCCTCTGTTCTAGTAGTGATTAGTGGGAGGGGTTGATTGACTACGGTGCTATCTTCTTTGTCTTGTTACGCTTCATAGAAAGCTGGCTTTATCCTAGCAATAGCGATAGTCTCCTTCTTTCTGCACTTGTTGATTATGAAATGTTTATTTGTTCTTTTAATTACTTGGTATGGTCCCTCGTAAGGTTGTTTCAGTGGCATTTTAACAGCGTCAACTCAAAAGAAGACAAACTTCACGTTTCTAGGCTTTTGTCAAGTTGTATTTGATTATCATGTTCTCGCGGCGATATTGCCTTGACACTTGTGGTGGACCAGACGATATATAAACGCAAAAAGTATCAACAAAGTTAATAAAGATCAATAGTAATATTAATATATACCAGTTAAATGTTACAATTACAATAAAAAATGGGACTTTACTTAAGTTTACCAAAATGATACGTGTTCAGCTTTTGTCTGGTACAGTAAATCCACAATTATAAATGCTTGATAATTCCAAACGTGTTGACGAATTCTCCAGTGATATAATCCAACGTAGGATATGATATATTCCTATTACAATCTATAAATGTAGACGAAATTTGTTTAGACTACAGTTAATTCAATCACGAACGAAGATAGCCAGCAACATTATGTCACGCTATGTTAGTATCACAATGGAAAAAGTGTTCAAGGTCAGTTACTAAAACAACAGGTACAAACATTTAATGATAAATATACATACAATGAAAGGTTGATAAGATAAATACAAATAATATTAAAAAATTATTTACAAAATAAGCTTGTCAGTCATACCTCCACACCCTTTGCATTGTTTGTAGAAGTTGACGCAGTGGATGCGCACGTGGATGCGCACTGCTGAGGAGTCCCATACTAGGACGAAACGGCCGTCCAGTGCTTCCAGGTTTTCAATGGTGGTCTAGCTTCAACTGACTCATGATTTCTATCTGTGAAAATAAAGTTCAATTAAAATAACTGAAGGGAGAGAAATAATAAGAAATTGTCGCGTTATCCTAGGCCATAGAATGACTTAAGGATTACCAATGTAAATGCAAGGTTACGAAGAATTGTTTTTGTACACATAAGGGGGGCTTAAATTTACGAATAGCCAAGGCTTCAATAAACATAAGAATTCGTCCTTGACAATTTCCATACAACGTTCTAAATGCTGTATTAACGTTAATTTTGTGCCCCATCTCAATTATGTTTCGCTATCGATGAACTTGGTTTTCTACCTCCTACCAGATTGTTCAAAATGTATAGCGCAAGTACATCACATTTTTCAGATCAACTCCGTCTTCGCACTGTTCTATCGAAATTTATAAAAGGGACTAATTGCTTTAAAGTCCTCGGGTTTCCGAAAATTCTGAAATGCTACTAAACATAGTAGCAGTATAGTAATCAAACAATCAGAAACTCTACATGTGACTTTTCACTTTCTTGATGTTTCCGGCTAAACTTCTAGTGAACGCTGATTGGATAAAATGCTTCTTAGTGTTTTCCTGATCCTTTCTTGTCTTTTGAGAAAAATTTTCTGGATCATACCAACAGGCACAATGAATTTCACGTGACTGACTGTGTCAGTTGAAGATAGCACGATCAGATTATTAAGTTGCAGCGGACATGGCCAACATAATTTTCATTGTTTAGTAGGATTACTTTCAGTTCGTCATGTTTTTCTTGTATGATATTACTACACATTTTCAGGACTGGTTTAGCTACCTTACAAATAATGGGTTTTCAGATTAAATCTTTTCAGAATATGCTTCTGTCGGTCTACTTTTTATTTTTCTGTTGTTTTTGCTTTCGTATGTATGTGTTTGCGCTGTGGTGGATATTTTCACTTGGACTTGACTGTGTTTGCATACGTTTGGATGCTTTTTTGTGAGTTACGGGAACGAAAATTCACACTTGTATATTGGATGTCCAAACAAATTCCGAATGTCGAACTGTTTGTCTATCCTAAAACGTTTATAACGCGAGTAAATCTGTATTTTGCAGAATTATCTGTTGTGTTTTGTTATATATCATTGTATGAGACGCAGAACATATCTTGATAGTGTCAAAGTGTCATTCTACGTCAGAGAACGTGTTAATTCATCGTGTAACATAATCAAATTTTAGCGTTATCCCAGTCTACCTCCGATGAGCGCTTATTTGACACTTATCTTTCTAATGATTGTTATTATTATTCTTGCCACAATAACCACGATATATTTTGATCAGTATCATCACGTTTGTCGATTACTCGCATTTTATGGACCAAAGATCTCCACTGCTTACTTAACTTACTCTTTAATGTTTAAACTTCAAATACAACAATGGACACATTATTTCAGCATTCAAAGCAATAGACATGAACATCACTATTTTTGTGGATTTATAACATTGAATAATTTAGTTATAATCTTCACGAATATCTTCTAATATACTGTTTATTGTATCGCTTTATTGACTAATGTATAACTCAGTGAGTCTAAAGAGGAGATAACAAAGAAACACTTTGCTTAATTGTGCTTGATTTGTAAATTAGCGTTTTGTAGATGTAACCTGATATTCACCCATCCATTTCATCTCTGTGAGCTGGTTGTTAATTACCCCCACAAACCCTAATAAAGTGAAATGTACAGTTAGTTATGCCAGCCTACATGACAACTGAGGGTGTTGTGCGAAATTCTGTGTAGGATCATTATTATTTTTGAGGTTTCGCTCACATATTAGTAATTCTAAGTTGTATCAATGCGTGTTATGGATGAGTGGCGATAGTTGGAATGATGTCACCACTTTCAAACATCTGATTACAAATCGCGTATTACTTGGCGACTCTGTTACTTAGTGAAATCTCAACATGGTGAGTTTGTGATATGGCTCTGTGACACTAAGGATAACAGTATATGGCTGATAGCCGTTGGTGAATCACGACTTACGGTTTCAACTTCAATCGATTATGACTTGAGACGCTAACAAATATGGCTAAGGATTGAAGCGAGTTAAGGAGTGAGATTTCAATGGTGACAAATCGTCAACAATTCGAAAATTGATTCGTATGCAATGTTTTCAGTGTAACTTGCCTTCAATTACTATGTATTGTCGATTGCTATATTAAGCCCATATAGCTTATTCTGGCTTCTGGACAAACCAATTTATTCATTTTTCTTGAGTCATATTTTGACCTTGTCAATCAGTCGGTTAATAACCTCGACTGTTTTTATATACGCGTATGTGTGTGCATTTCTTATCTTGCTCATCACTTGGCTGTAACTGATTTTTGTCTGATTAAATTGAGTTGGCTTACATGCTCTCTCCACTGCGCGTTGTTTCGCTTCACTCTCCTCTCTGCGATTTCCTCGCTTAGTTCCTCCGACCGTTTTTCTGAATCAACGATTGTATGAAATATACGTATTCAAAATTCATTCTCGTATTTGACTTATTTAATTGCGCTATTCACTAACGCCAGTTAAGTCGATAATTATATGCAAGGATTGGCGAAATGTATGTTTCAATAAAAATCATTCACATTATCTAACTGGAGTCAGGCCTAGAGCCACTAAAACTGTAAATCAAGTTTAACAGCAAGGAAAATGAAATTGACGAAATTCCATTAAAACCATTTATTGAAACGTTTTCGAATGACATAAATTATGGAATTTATACTAATTCTCATCATCATAAAACGTGACTTTGATCACTTTCATGCATTATCTATAATAAACAAAATCATGGATTTTAGTAAAATCATGCAAAATGATCACAGTTAAGAAATGCTTGTAATTTTCTGTAAATTAAGTCAAAAGAATGCACTTGTATACCTGTTATACGACTGATAATTATCAAGGAATATTCTATCGTTTAGATTGCGGCTAATAGTGAGATCCAGGAAGCGAGTTTTGTTTTCTTATATCGCGTCATTTAAATATATTTACTTCACACTGTTGATGCTTATAATGAGATGTGAACCTATTATCTACAGTTTTAATCGCTCAACCGAGATGAAACCAAATACAATAATTTAAATCTCCTTGGTTTACATTGAAGTCTAATGCTGTACAATTACCATTTTACATTCTTTTTTTATACACCTAGATTCCTCGAAACTATCATTGAATTTTTCATCATTTTTATAAATGCTTAATTAGTCAATATGAAATCGATATGAAATTAACTTACTCGGTTTGGCTTTGTTGACAAAATCTAATATAAGTCCGTATTTAACTGAAATGTTTGCGAATAAACACTGAGTAAATCATTGTAAGGTATAACAAATAATGTAAACTCATCAATTAACTTAATGAAACCTTTTTATGTTAAAGTTAGTAGACCACCAAGGAAAACCTGGAAACACTGGACGGCCGTTTCGTCCTATCGTGGGACTTCTCAGCAGTACGCATCCATGATCCCGCCCCGCGGGATTCGAACCCAGAACCTACTGGTCTCTCGCATGAGCACTTATTCACTAGACCATTGAGCCGATGGGCATCTAACGGTGTTAATGTCTAACTTCAACTAATCTACCAAATTGATTGACACGTCCATCGTTTTCATCAGTGAGTTACTATATCACAACTGACCCGACTGAACTCCACTGGTCACTCCAATGTTACTTGATATATTAGTGAGTAGTACATTCCTTTATTTCATTTAGTCCAAGATGTACATTAAGTATTACAATATGAAATTTGCATAAACATTCGTATACTGTTTTAAGTTTAGTGAATATATTATTTAATAAAGAATATTTATTTTATCAAATAAAGTTTTGTTGACTATTACTTACACAAATTTTCGTTGTAACTGTTGATAATTCTGTATTTATTTCTACTCAACTCAATGAAAGTTTCCATGTCTGAAACATATGAAATATTGAGAGTGTATTCATATTTGCATTTGTAATCTATCATTTATTCATAAGTCTAAATTCATGAAACAGATTAAAACTAATCATGTACATATGTGTATGCTATCGAAACTGTACACAAATACTTAGATGATATTGTTGTTAGTTAATTAGTTCATTATTTCACTGGTTGAAATCATGAGTCAATTGAAGCTAGACCACCATGGAAAACCTGGAAGCACTGGACGGCCGTTTCGTCCTGGTATGGGACTCCTCAGCAGTGCCCATCGTTGGATGCCGGCTCAGTGGTCTAATGGTTAAGTGCTCGCGCGCGAAGCCAGTAGGTCCTGTGTTCGAATCTTCTAGGGTGCGGGATCGTGGATGCGCACTGCTGAGGAGTCCCATACCAGGACGAAACGGCAGTCCAGTGCTTCCAGGTTTTCCATGGTGGTCCAGCTTCAATTGACTCATGATTTCAACCAGTGAAATTTCTAAAAATCTCCACAAAACCAATTCTGATAATAGTTCATTATTGTTATGAACAAGTTACCAGTATGATTTGTGAAATAACAAACTATTACAAGCATATTATTTGATTATGCCCATATATGAACTTGTTATTATTTTGAGTAAATGGGATATTAAATAAATCCTATCACAAATAACTCTTATTTGGTGACCATGTAATATGTGTCCTTATCAATCCTCTAACTTGATTGTGCTTTTTATAATGTCATTTTCCGTATATTTCTGTGTATCCTCACATAAGCTTTCGTATTTATTCATTGTACTCAATGAATAGATATATAAACTGAGTATCGAATTCATTCTGTGATTTGGTTATTAGCCAACATTCATGCTTCATCAATTTGTTCATCTTACTTCAATATGATTTGTTTGCTAAGATGTGTGTCTGATGAATAAGTATCTTCGAAATATTTCGCATCAGACTCTAAAAATATCATGCCACTGAAGTCAATCTAGTTACATAATGAGGTCAGTCAAAATACAGTTATCCAGATTAAACCAGAAAGTTATATTTCATTCCAGTCAAGCTATATCGTCATTAGACCGGTAGTAGTATCTCAGTCTTGTTAAAATATTTAATGTTGGTTTCATTTAATGAAACGTCTGTTTAAGTGAATTATTATCTATTTAGAATTACTATGTAAATGATTTCGGTGTTGTTTAGTTCTTTGAGCCGTATTGTTTAGTCAGTACTTGAAGAAAGACTCTTGAAAAACAGCTTCAATATTCACCTACAATTGCCACTTGTATAATAATTAAATGGGTGGTTCATTTCAGCTTACCTTTGTAATTAAGTCCTATAGGGATTTTACATTGCGTTCCGCTGTGCTTAGCCGCCTTTTCTATATAATTGCAAAAATTTATGAAGTAAGCTGCTTTTCATAAGCAATTCAAAATTTGTTTAGAAAACAGATTGCTTTGGATTACGGACATTCAAACTCAACTACCATTCACGTAAATATAAACACAAGATTTTTAAATGAGAATAAGATGTAACCACAGATGTTGTAATTGCTTATGATAATGAATTTTGTTACCAGGTAAGACAAAATGAGAATGATTTTATCATTCAATCAAGAAAACTATATGTGTGCTTTGGAAAGTGACAAATAGTCAGTAGATTCAGCTCTTTCAAGACATTATGTTGTTATGTCTTGCAGCTAAGGCTAATCGAAAAAACATAACTATCCCGCAGTCAATAATTGTAAATTATAGTGAAAATTCCCATTTTGCCATTTGGTAAATAAAGAAGGAACGAATTGAGCGAAGAAATTTCTTTCGTCCTTTTAAAAAATATCGGCTGATTATATTTGGAAATTACCTTTCATCCGAATTCCAGTATTGGATTGTATTCGAGGGTAAGTTTCCTAGTACTATCATACTAAATTAATTCAGTATATGTGATTAGCTTATTCTAGATGGATTACACACACAATTTCGATGTTTAATACACCGCCAACATTAGTTATCGAAACTAAGAGGTTTGTATGTTATACAAGATACTGAAAATGAAATACATTATCTGTTATCATTATTGCCACCATGAAATAATAACGAATGTAAGTTATCGGTTTACATAATTCACTTCATAAAATATCTCTTTCCCAAGAGGACTCTGATTCTGTTAACAATCCATTCCAACTGAATACAATTAATATTACGAATTTCGAAATAAGGATGACTTTTAAGACTTAGAATATACGAGACATTTGTTTATTCAACTAACACTAGTAATGTTCGTCTAAGAATTATATAATATTTTAGTTAGGTAGATTAACAAGAAGTTGAAATCCTTGTTATTCGAATAACATGAAAACATTAGATAATGCAAATTAGTAAGTTTGTTTTTAATTGAGAGCATGAACCGGTGTATGTTAGACCACCATCAAAAACCTGGGAGTGCTGGAAGGCCGTTTCGTCCTATTGTGGTACTCCTCAGTCGTGCGCATCCACTATCCCGCCTCGCAAGATTTGAACCCAGGTTCGAGGTTAGACATTAACACTATTGGATGCCGGCTCAGTGGTCTAGTAGGTTAGGCGTTCGTGGGCGAGACTGGAGGCTCTGGGTTCGAATCCTGCTTGGCGGGATCGTGGATGCGCACTGACGAGGAGTTCCACAATAGGAAAACGGCCGTCAAATGTTTCCAGGTTTTCAATGGTAGTCTAACATTAATCGGTTCATGATCTCAATCAAAAACCTACTTATCTCCATAACCCCTATACTGATAAGTTTTTAAAAAAAAATCAAATGATAAATAGAATTAAAACGTTTAACCATGTAGTTTTGAATATTACTCTTACTTTCGATTTTTTCTAGTTCCTCTTCCAAACAGTCATAGCGACGTGAAGATTTTGCGACTTTCGCTTCTATATTGAGTATAATCAATGAATAAATAGATTGTTCATCTTAAACCATCATAAATAATATTCTCTCTCAATTAAATACACTAAATATATAAATCAAAATAAAAGTTTTTATTCAACATTGTTTAATTGTTTAATTAATGATGAATTTTCAATAGTTTATAAATACTAAATTCACTTGGTTTTGTTTGCTTGTATCACCCCTATTACACAAGTAAGTGGCTATCAGGACTCAGTAGCTAAATGGATAACACAATGATATTTGAAGTCAACGGTACTGAGTTCAAGTCACAGAGTAAACATTAACTCTAAGATGCATGTTGGTCGGTTTCCGGAGAACTTCAACGGAGCCTCCAGAGGCCCAAAAGGAGCCGAAGAGTCCTAGCCAATCAGAGTATGATGGAACGTTCGAGGATTTAGCGTGGCGTGCTATCATTGGTCGGTAGCATAATATAACGTTAACGGATTGGCTGAAATATGATGTTGATTTAACAAACGCCAACATCTATAAATACCCTTGATTTTCTGTACAAAAATGAACTTGGGATAAAGTGTTTTCTCTCATACTTGTGTCTTCTCTCTGGAGTTCAAGTCGCTGTGTAGTTCTAGACTGCGGGTTACCGGAATAGCTTAGGAATTGTATATAGCGTTCAACCTACACGACTTATCAATGCAGGTATATTCAATTGACGAGTCCCAAATAGGATGAAACACGCATCCTAGATTCTATTGCCAGCCATTATCTATCACTGCATATAAAGATTATAAATATTGTTCAAAAAAAATTGTATATCTTTCAATAATACATATTTATTAGCTAATTGAAACACATACCGCGTTTGTTCATCACTGAACCAACTAATATATCCAAATCTAAAATATTTTAATTGAAAATAGTAATACAATTTCATATAAACAAAAAATTCACTTATAGAATCATAAATTCTACGTAATTGATACTTAGATTATGTAAATATATGTTTATCTAGTCACTTGAGACTTGCCCATTTAATATACTTGTATATAATATTAATTAAGTAAGATTTATTACAGATTATAACCTCATGGAATATAACATACAAATCAGTATTAGGTTGTGGAGATTGTTGTGTTTTTTTTATTGTGATCATGAATCGATGAATGTTAAACTAACATTGAAAATGTGAAAGCAATGAACGACTGTTTCGTCCTAGTATGGGACGACTCAGTAGTAATTAACTACAATCCTGCATGTAGGATTCGAACTCAAGATCTTCGGTCTCTCATGAAGACGCTTAACCTCCAGACCATGTTCATGTCTAACTTCAAGTTAATCCATGATGTTGCACGACTATCTTCTCATGTACACGATTGTGGATCCATATTGCTAAAGAGTTTCATACTAGGAACAAATAGTCATCTAGTATTTTCAGGTTTTCAATAATAGTCTAACATTCATCGATTCATGATCTTAATCAAAAACTCAGACAATAATGCTTCATAGTATTAGGTCATAAAATGAATTTGGGAATGTTAAACTATCTTATAAGATAGGTATACAATGAATTTATATAGAAATATAGATAAAATATAGTACACTTATTTTTAATTAAAGATAAAACAATATTTTGAAAACCTTTTTGTACCTTGTCCAAAATTAGATTTATGAACTAAATCTAATGCAAAATTAAAACATTCAATATCTAAAATTCATCATTATTATTAGAGTATTCATTGTATTTTCACATACATTTAGTGAATGCTTCTTCATCAATTGAATATATTCGTGGAAGTATCGCTAAAAATTAACATAATATAAAGTATATTATAACCGATAAATATATAACACCAGTGTTATTTCGTAATGAATTCAGGATAACTTAAGTATATTTTTATATTATCAAATAAACTTAAATCATGAATCAATTGAAGGTAGACTACTATGAAAAACCTGAAAGTACTGGATGGCCATCTCGTCCTGTTGTGAGACTCCTCAGCAGTGTGTATTCACGATTCCGCCACGTGAGATTCAAATACAGGATCTATCGATCTCGCAAGAGAACGTTTCATCTCTAGACCACTAATCCAGCATCCAACGATGTTAATGTCTAACTTCAACTAATCCACGAAATTTAGTGACACACTTATTCTAGGTTTTCCATGATGGTCTAGCTTCAAATGACTCATGATCTCAACTATTAAAATTAATATAATAACCACGAAAAAAACCCACTTCCGAAATAAACTTTCTTGATAAACATTAATAGTTGGCAGTCAATTCTATTCTATTAATAATTACTATTAACTACTGATCAAATTGACATGATCTAATCATTAAATAGCTGCTTGAAATAGTTCGGATTTATTTATCAGAAATAAACGAATGGTTTTTTAATTGTTTAAAATCTATCTGTCTAGTAGGTCCAATCTACTGATAAACTTTGTTGTCTACAATAATTCGTAGTTTATTCTACTTGTTATATCCTAGTGAAGATTACATTACGAGTAACTTCTGAGAACTATTGATGAACTAATATTATATATATATATATTCCTGTTGTATAACTGTTCAGTAATTAGATTATGTATATCTATATTCCTCTTATTATAAGCTTCATTTTGACCCATAGACTATTATGCTGAGATTTACTGTTCTTAAATTATACTCATTTGATTAATTATTGTCTCCCATGTTCACAGCCACATTTTGACTTGGTCTTGTGTAAATGTTATTTCCTATTTCATGGTGTATTGTGGTTTGTTTGGCTGGTATATAAACCATATATGTTTGAAATAAATGATCGTGTAGTAGAAGCTGTTATTGACGTTCTGGACTCAATTAGATGGGTTAGGCGAACAAAAACATAAAACAAATAAGAACACTAGGCTGCTCATACAAGTCAATTGAGGAATAAATCACGTCATAACTAGCCGGGTTCAAAATCACAACACTATTGATATTCTTTGTGTCTTATTGTGATGGGTACATTTTTTTGATACAAAATTAAAGTGTTATTAATAGAAATCAGCTTCTCAAGTAAAAATTATTTATATATATCAACTTATGAATAAATTACCTATTTCTTGCTGTACTTGATAATCTGCAAGACGTAGACTCCATGCGAATAGGTCTAAGTTAACTGCAAATTAAATATTAGTTCATTTTAACACCTTGATCAATTACTTCTAATTAAAATGTATCAGTTTAGATAGTTACTTTTAAGCCCATTTCATTTGACATAAAAAACATATTTGTGGAGTATATGTTAAAATGATATCAGTTAAGTGATCGGCTTAGGGTATTCATTTGTTCTAATCTATTTATCTAATCTATATATGTATATTTATTATAACAAAATAGTTGTTCTATCTCTATTTACATTGTTCTATACATTCCATAATGTTTCTGAATGTCAGGATTTTTGATTAACGTATCGTTCCACGTTTAGTTGTCTCCACAACGTCACATCAATATACTTATTCAACTTGACTGTTTGCATGTCGAATACAAATCAAATCCTTAGAGCGATAAGTCAGCTGATTTAAGAGTGTTGTCAAACATGAAGACTAAACGGTATGATTGGGATAGTTATAGAATCATAATTCATTGATTAAGTAGTATAGTTATATATTTGTTCAGAATACATTTATTAATAACCTGTCAATAAACGAACAAAATCATTTTATCACTATTCAGATTCAAAAGTGCATTAATCATGTAATTTTATGTATAAGTGATGACGATTTTGTTGATATATCTTATTCTATCCACTCTCAGGGACCACATAAAGTTTAAACACATCTATCAGTCTATTATCTAATTACCTTTTAGATTTGATAAAATGACCTCTGGATTTCCGAAACTATGTAGCTTCTGTCTTTTACCATCTGTAAATTGAACATAAATAAGTTTATTTGAAAATATGAATATTTGAATTGGGGTATATGGTTACATTTTAAAAAGCTATTCTTTACTTTCATCTTACTTTCTATGAGATTTAAACGAAGAACCCAGGTTTAAATAATGTTAATCAAGTAGTATATTGAGAACTTTCAGGTTCATGGAATAAACTATAAAAATAGTTACATGTAAGTTGTACTAATACTACTAAGTATTCTATACTATTAACCGTGTTCATATAGTTTAATTTGTTTAATCTGGTTAGCGTTTTTTTAGCAAGAATTCTTCTATGGGATGCTGTTATTGACCCCATGCCTAACCCTCCTTTTTTATCTGGGCTTGGGACCGCCAGTAACTCTAGAAGAGCTACAGGCGGAGTTGTGTTCATATGCTCTTCACTAATATCCACCTGTTATTTTCCATACATCAATACGTTCGACAATATATATCCAAAATTAATCATCACAATGATACATTCAATTTCATTTCAAAATGAACCATTTACTCTTGACAAGAATCATTTTTTAACTTTAAAAAAACATTAACTATTTGTATATCTACTCAATTTGATTCAAAAGAAACATTAAACAACTCCATGAACAAGGAATGAGCTTTGCCTTTATAAAACTCAAACATTTTCACCCGTTATTCATTAACACGAATCTATTGACTGAAAACATAGTTTCTATTCTATCGGTTAAATGAGTAGACTAAAATTTAGCTTTCCAATCTTTAGATAAACTATTTACTATAAGTGAAAGTTGATCAGAAAATAAATAATTACTAAAACATGGCATCATTTAGCTCTGACACAACAATCAACAACGATCAGATAGAACAAGTATCTAAAGCAATTAGTCCTTTTTATAAATTTTGATAGAACAATAAGAACATGGAGTTGATCTGATCAACTTCATCTTCTCATAACAAGCATCATATTAATTATACACCTTATAAATAGTATCCAGATCCCAGGGGAGGAAGAAATCAGCAAGAAGCGCTGGAAGTGGATAGGACACACATTGAGGAAAGCACCCAACTGCGTCACAAGACAAGCCCTCACATGGAATCCTCAAGGCCAAAGGAGGAGAAGAGGAAGACCAAAGAACACATCACCCCGAGAAATGGAGATAGATATGAGTAAAATAAACAAGAATTGGATGGAACTAGAAAAAAAGGCCCAGGACAGAGTGGGTTGGAGAATGCTGGTCAGCGGCCTATGCTCCATTAGGAGTAACAGGCGTAAGTAAGTAAGTAAGGCATAAATAGTATAATTATGTAAATATCATTTAAATGTATTATAAAACTTACCAACTTGTATTGAAACAAGTATGATCAAATGTAACACAATGATATCAAATAATAATGAATGAAACATTATTTAATGAAACTAATCATTTTCATTATCCGCTTTTATACTATTGATAATCAGTAAACTTAGTGACAAATAAAAACAGCAACAACAACACAAATGTGACAACCAAACTATTGGCTAATTAAATGAAAAATAAATCGTATAAAATTTAATTATTATTTCACCAATGATATAATGTCAGCTTGTTTTCTCCTTTTTTTTATTAAGCTTACTATATTGCAAATTCAAGTGTTCTGTAAATAACATTTCATTAGTCTAAGTTTGTTTTGTACTCATTACAATAAAATGTTAATTATAGTAATTAGCCTAATAAAGAGGCTAACATTTCAGAATTGCAGTTTTGTAATAATATGGGTTGAAATAAATACTTCATTAATGTTACATATGATGTTATATATGTGATTGTAGAATATTAAGTTATTACTAGTTTAACAAAATAAGTAGTATCTACTCAATCAAACAATGGATTACATGTAATAATTTAATGATTAACGTTTTAATAGACATTAGGCGCTAAATAAATGTGACATTAGTTTCCAATATGTAATCAATTAATGTTATTATCAATAATAAGATGTCTTTTATAGAATGATCATTTAATTTTTTGATGGAATCACTCATTTATTCATTAAAATGAGTCAATATCGAGGCATACGCACAGTATGCACATATGCCAATAACGGACTGATCAGTTGCAGTTTTAAACCTCAATGGGAAAATACAAGCCAAACAATACCAAGTGGATTTAAAGTCACCTCATTGCACATGCAAGTGGCTATCAGAACTCAGTAGCTAAGTGGATAACGCGATGGAGTTTGGAGTAAATGGTACTGAGCTCGAGTCCCAGAGTGAACGTCAATTCTGAGATGCAGGCACATCCTGCTGACGAGTCCCAAATAAGACGAAACGCGCGTCCTGGATTCCACTGCTAGCCACCATCCATCATTGCTTATTAAAACTTCTAGTTTCAAATGAATGAAGGAATAATTTTGTAAACATCATTGACTGAATATGAATATTTCATTGAAAATCAAAGTCGTTAAGTTAATGCGTTAACAAGTCCAGTCATGATTAACTTTGTGTTCTTTATTACAGAAACCTTATCCAAAAAGAACCTAATGTAGGCAAAATATCTTTTTATTCTACTACTAAACATTAGAATTGAAGAACAAAATTTTTGAAAATTACTCCTTTTGACAAATTGATTGTTTGATATAATTATCATTTCATATATTGTTTCTTATTTGATTGCTTCGTTATGGATTTTACAATAAACCAGTTAATATCGGTAATTAATCCTGTGAATGTTTTATCACCTTGACAAAATTTATCTTCAAATTCTTAGCAAAGATGGATGGTAGCTACCAGTAGAATCCAGGATGCGCGTTTCGTCCGACTTTCGACTCGTCAACTGGATGCACCTGCATCCCAGAGTTGACGTTCACTACAGGACTGGAACACAGTACCACTGGTTTCAAACGCAATTTTCTTATCCATTTAGCTACTCAAACCTGAGAGCCACGAAGTTGTGCAATGGGGTGAAGTTTAAATTCATCCATACACGATGCACATATGCTAATAAGACACTGATCGTTTGCAGTCCTAAACATCAACTACTGTCAGTTTTCAGATATCACGAAGACCACTGAACAATATCACTTCTCAAGTAACCAGTCACGATCCTAGTTCTCATTGATGCCGATTCCATCTCTCGTATTAGCGCTACAGTCAAATTTACCGGAACTGGTAAACGATACATCCAACAAGCACTATTGAACCTGAGTCGATGCATCTAATTTCGTAATGGCTCTTTCTTTGCAAACTTCTCTCTATGTTACCTATCACTTCAAGACCATAAACTGCATTGAGGCAACTTCCTTTCTAGCATAATTATCACAGGCCAGTGAGCTAAAAAATCAAGGGCGTAACACTAGTTATATGAAAGCTACAGAAAGACATTTTATATAAGTGGATTCTACAGTTTGAATAATTTGAAGGAAGGCGAGGTAATCACCAACATTGAAGAGCAACAAAACAGGTGGGTAGAACACTTCAAAGGACTCTTGAATCGACCAGCTCCACTGAACCCACCAACATCGAAGCAGCACCCACGGACCTCCCAATCATGTTGGCCCACCAACAATTGAAGAAATCAGCATGACCATCAGACAAATCAAGAGTGACAAAGCAGCAGGACCGGACAACATCCCAGCAGAGGCACTGAAAGCAGACGTAGCGGCAACTGCAAGGATACTCCACATTCTCTTCAATAAGATTTGAGATGAGGAACAACTACCAAAAGACTGGAAAGAAGGACTTCTGGTCAAAATACCGAAGAAAGGCGATCTCAGCAAGTGTGATAACTACAGGGGCATCACTCTTCTCTCAATACCGGGAAAAGTCTTCAACAGGGTATTGTTAAACAGGATGAAGGACTGCGTAGACGCACAACTTCGTGACCAACAGGCAGGATTCCGTAAGGATAGATCGTGTACAGACCAAATCGCAACTCTACGGATCATTGTGGAACAATCACTTGAATGGAATTCATCACTCTACATCAACTTCATTGAATACGAAAAGGCATTTGATAGCGTGGACAGAACAACACTATGGAAACTTCTTCGACACTACGGCGTGCCCCAGAAGATAGTCAATATCATACAGAGTTCATATGATGGATTACACTGCAAAATTGTGCATGGAGGATAGTTGACAAAGTCGTTCGAAGTGAAGACCGGTGTTAGACAAGGTTGCTTACTCTCACTCTTTCTCTTTCTCCTGGTGATCGACTGGATCATGAAGACGTCAAAGTCTGAAGGGAAGCGCGGGATACAATGAGCATATAAGATGCATTTGGACGATCTAGACTTCGCAGATGATCTGGCCCTTCTATCCCAAACGCAACAACAGATGCAGGAGAAGACGAACAGTGTGGCAGCAGCCTCAGCAGCAGTAGGTCTCAATATACACAAAGGGAAAAGCAGGATTCTCCGATACAACAAAGAATGCACCAATCCAATCACAATTGACGGAGAAGATTTGGAAGATGTAAAAACTTTACCTATTTGGGCAGCATCATTGATGAACAGGGTGGATCTGATGCAGATGTGAAGGCGCGGATCGGCAAAGCAAGAGCAGCATATTTACAACTGAGGAACATCTGGAACTCAAAGCAACTATCAACCAACACCAAGGTCAGGATTTTCAATACAAATGTCAAGACAGTTCTACTGTATGGGGCAGAAACCTGGAGAACTACGAAAGCCATCATCCAGAAAATACAGGTGTTTATTAACAATTGTCTACGCAAAATACTTCAGATCTATCGGCCGGACACTATTAGCAACAACGTACTGACAAGACCAGTGGAGAATGCTGGTCAGCGGCCTATGCTCCATTGGGAGTAACAGGCGTAAGTAAGTAAGTAAGTAAGTAAGTAAGTAAGGATTCTACGGTTAAGTACAGTTTATGCAAACAATCAAGCATCTAGAATGTTAAATCCAAAATTAGTAAAAGCAAACTATTTTTAATATCTCAATTAGTAGAAAAGTTAAACATTCCGACGTGTCATGACCCCGTGTAAGCCACCTCTTCACATAACAAATTCATTTCAGTGAAGTTCAAATAACATTAATGAACTAAGTGAAAATAATTATAATGATCAATTAACAAGACTCTTCGGTCAAGGTGATCTATGTCATAAATGATTGGGTATTTGCGTTTATGTTAATGTGTGAAAAATGTGACATTTGTAATGTGAAATGATAGTATTATATTTGTATGATAATGGTGTGAGATGGGGGATAGAATCAGTTATGGTCTAAATCGGATTACCAATAAGGCTTTTTTCTATTGAGAGTAGTAGGATTTAGCAACTCGCTTTTCTTTGTAGTTGGACAAGTCTTTTTGTATTACTTTTATATTTTTAATATCGATTTGATGGTTACTGAAAGTGGCGCGTACCGATATCTCCAATGTAATCCAGAGTCTCTATAGTACCACAGGATAATCAGGTGTTTTCGTGTATTTAAGATGTTCTTTGGTTTGATTCAATATTTCAAGAAATGACTTTCTAATATAGAAGGTGTTATAATCGACACATCTTAATTTGTAGACGCAATTCTATGTTGATACAAACGGGATATTTTTCTTTATTTGAACTAAAGCGTTTTCAGGTGTACTGGTTCTTTAGTAGTATGCATTAATGTCATACACATAGTCCCGTTAGATTATCCTAAGCAGAGCAAGAACGAACATTGAAGCGGAATAATATGAATTGATTTTATTTCGTTATTCTCATCAGCTGCTTACAAGCTATAGTGTGTTTAAAATCAACGTGGTCTTTGGATAAAAGTTGAGACTGTGGTGTGGGGGAAACAAGATATTGGTTTGCGATATCAACTAGTTTAGATTTTAATCAGCTTTTCTTGTCTTCACTTACTGGGTGCAACTCTTTAATTTGATCAGATAAATTCTCAAATTGAGTTTCTGTGTCGATTCTGTCAGCACGCATTTTGGGGATATGAAATTTAAATCCAAGCGACAAAGCTTCTGTTTCTATCTGATTTAACGTCACTATTGATAGATTATAGAGATATTTTCCGAGGTTTTCTGAAAACCATAGTGTTATGATTCGTTAATCTTGAATTGCTATTACTGATTCGTCTTACTCGAACGGAACGAAGGATCAATGATTCAGAGACTCGATAGCTATTCTGGTTCGCTGTCCCCGGCTCTGATAACCCGATCAAAAAGTCTGGGTAAGGGATAGAAACTGTATTCTACAGACAAACAGCAGATAACAAGTCAAGTCAAACACACAAGTCAAGCGTATTTATACAAAAATATTTACAATCGATATTGTCATAGTAAAATGTTTTTAAACATTAATCAATAAGTTCATCAATTGACAGGCAATCAAATATTTAATCCATAATTTCGTCAATTGACTGCTATTTAATCATTTAACCGTTAAGTTCATCAATTGACATCCATTCAAATATTTAACATTTAATCGATAAGTTGATCAATAAGATGAAATTAC